AAACCTTGAAGAGCCCTCATCAGTCCTGGGAGAGGTTTTATCCATTATAAAACCCTAAAGGGCACATCCTCACCACTGGAGGTGTAAAACAGAAATAATGTGTTAAACAGAAATAATTCTTTTGGTGTAATATTAACCTTTAAATCCTTTCCCATCTAGTGTTGCTCTATTTTTTAAAAGTGGAAAGGTCACAGTGCCCTAAAATAAAGGTGATGTGGGAGCACTCAGCTGGGGTTTATGGAGTGAGCTGGGAATTTGCATGCACAAAGCAAATTGCCCACATAATTCCTTTGGTGCCACAAGGGAGGGAAAATAATTAGAATTCAGGCTGCAAAATCTGCACAGAGAGTTGCTTTTCAGGTGAGTGTCTGGTTTTCACTTGTTAAAAATAAATAAGCAACCACAAATTGCCACATTTTTGAACAAAATAATACTGGAGGAAGGAGGAAATTCTTATTTCTTTTGCGTTAGTGATGTGCCAGAAGAATCCTCAATATTCCAATAAAAGCTGAGCTAATTGTGTCCTGCTGACAGGAATACTCTGAGCCCTCGAGGGGCTGGGTTTTAATCTGATTGTATTAATCTTGCCTTGCAACAGCACGAGTCATTTAAGCAGTCTTTTCTGCCTGCTTATGGAATAATCCATTTGGAAAATTGGATTGTGGAACTCGTAATTGTTTTCTAGGCAAAACTGTGTCGGTGGCAAATGAAATGTTTCCAGTCTGACCGCTCTGCTGAGGAGGAGCTGCTGAACATTTGTTTTAATGCTTGCTGTCACTTAGCTGGGGGTGAGGAGTGAGGCACCAGGCTCAGGGTGTAAAAGCTTTTTCCAGTCATTGTTTGGCACCCAAACAACAGAAATCTGCTTCTGAATCTTTACACTAAAACACCTTCTGATAACGAAAGCTGTGGTTTTATTTTGCTTTTTTTTTTTGAAGTGGAGCAGTCTAACAAATCCTCAACTTTCCCTCGATAAAAATAATACAGAGAGCAGCTTTTCTGCACTGTGCTGGAGCTCCAAATTGGGTGAATCCTTTGGGTTTCCACCTGCCCCTCTCTGATTCTGCTGCCCCAGGTTGGTGTTTCTCCTGCCCCTCGTGTCAATATTGCTCAGCCTGGAGGGAGCTCTGGTTCCAATTGGCTGCAATTCCCTCAGGATGGTGTCACACTGGTGTCCTGCAGAGCTGCAGTGTCACCATGATGTTTTCTGAAAAATCCCTTTGCCAGGATTTTTCTCCTGAGAAGCCTCAGAGGAAAAGAAAAGCAATAATTATTTTCTGCTGTGGAATGCAATAGGAGCATCTTTGGTCGGTCCATTGGTTGGTTCTTTCTAATTAATGGCCAATCACAGTCAGCTGGCTTGGACTCTCAGAGAGTCCTTTGTTATTTATTCCTTTTAACGAGCTTTTGTCATTTATTCCTTTCTATTCCTTTCAAGCCTTCTGATGAAACCCTTTCTTCCATTCTTTTAGTATAGTTTTAATATATAATTTTCTTTTAATATAATATATATCATAAAATAATAAATCAGCCTTCTGAACATGGAGTCAGATCCTCGTCTCTTCCCTCATCCTTGGACCCCTGTGAGCACAGAATTTCCCCTGGCATTTCCCACTGAGGTGATTCCTGCAGGGCTGCATCTCCTCAAGAGCCATCCCATAGATCCTGGGCCTGCTGATGCTGATGCTGTCCTGTGGGGTCTCAGCACCTCAGGACTGAGGTGTCACCCAGACCACCCTTGGGGGGCTCGGGAGTCCTGGAATGTTCCAGAAGTGTCTGGTGGCTGGGCTTTGATCCTACACAGGAGACGACACCTGTATGAGGATAGGAGGGTTTCACCGGGGTGAATGGTGAAGGGATTGGTTAATTAGAGGGTGAGACACAGGGTTTAGGATTTCTGTACAGGGGGGTTTAGAGAAGTAAGATGGAAGAATTGGGGCGTGTCCTGTCCTTCTTCTTCTTCTTCTTCTTCTCCTCCATCTTCTGTGGTGATGGTGGCACTTTGGGATTGGTCATTACTGAAAGTGCACTGGTTAATAAGGGTAAAAGGTATTGGGGAAATGATAAATATTGTACACGTAACTTTGGGTATAAAGATAGGTGACCTCCCCAGAGGGCAGGGAGTGTGCTCATGGCTGGCTGCTGAGCAGAGCTCTGTCGGGCCGAGAGAAAATCTTTTAGATAAACAATTAATAAACATAAAAACCGAAAGAAGAACTGAAGCCTCTTCTCGTCCTTTGAAGCGTGGGCTGCCCCAAGGCCACCCCGGGCCTTTCCAGGCCATCCAAACAGCCTAAAATCGGACACTGTCCCACCTTCCTCTCCCTCTCCTTCCCCTCCTCTCCTCCCCAGGGATGCACAGATCCCTTTCCGAGCTCCCCACTCAAATCCCCACTTGTGTTTCCCAGGTCACGGAGCTCAGTAACGTGAAGAGCATCTCGAGGCTGCCCAAAGGCACCAAGAAGCACGCGGTGGGCATTTATTTCAGTGATGACACCTCCAGGACCTTCGCTTGTGACTCAGGTGGGTCCAACAGCCACGCTGGGAGCGCTGATTGTGGAATTGAAAACGTGATGTACCCACACAGAGATTTTCTGGGCATTTGTGCAGAGCTTGAGGCAGATGAGTGGTGCAAGGTGCTGCAGATGGAGTGCCTGGGAACACGAATTAATGACATTAGCCTTGGAGAGCCTGACTTGTTGGCATCTGGAGTAGAGAGGGAGCAGAGTGGTAGGTACAGAAATACCGACCTTTTCAATTTTTTATTGCATTGTTTTCAAGCCTTTTAGACTGTACGTAATGATATTGGAAATTAAAAGGAGCAAAACTGTTATTCCAAGTCCTCCTTGCTTGTTTTGGGGGGTTGGTTTTGGTTGGTTGGGGGTTTATTTTTGGCTCTTGCTACCAGAGATAATAAATAAGTTATCTAGAATTATTTTGGAGTAGCAGTTCCCTTTCTCAGATTTCTCAGATCAGTTAGCTGCTCTTGGAGATGGGAACTATTTGTTGTGTGTTTTTTTGGTGTGATATCAGTGGCTGAGGCTTTGTAAAGAGAATAATAAATAACAGTAATTGCATGCAAAACCTGAGGCCGTGGCTACTCCACTTTCCTGTGCAAATGAGCTCATTACCTGCTCAGGCACTGGATTTATTCACAAATTGCTCACAACTTTATGAGCTGTTTGCAAATACCAGGATTATGCTGGTGCACTTCTCCTCAGGCTCTGAGTGCACACACAAATATTTGATGCCCTTTGGGTGCAGCATTTGACTGCCCCAAACGTGGGGTTTACAGAGTTATAGAAGGAATTCTTTGTGTGGGAATGAATAGCTCTAAGTGCAAGCAATAGGGATGGAAAATAGGAAATTCCTTGAATGACTTGCACCTGTGCTGGGCAGGGATTTTAGACTAACCTTTTGTTTTTCTCCCAGAGAGATTCAATGTGTATTTGATGCCATCCCCTAATTTAGATGTGCATGGGGAATGTACCTTGCAGATAACATTTGAGAATATCTGTCTTTGGGACATCCAGAATCCCAGAGTCAAACTGGTCTCGTGGCCTCTCAGTGCCCTGCGGCGCTACGGGCGCGACCCAGCCTGGTTCACCTTCGAGGCGGGCAGGTAGGTGGGCATGGGTCTTTTAGGTGGGCATGGGTCTTTTAGGTGGGCATGGGTGCTGCACGTGGGCTGGGGTCCTGAGGGTGGGCTCAGGTCTTGTAGGTGGGCAGAAAAAAGGTGGCAATAACTTTGTTTCATTTCCTGGTTGGGAAAAGGCAGAAAACAGAGGTGGCAATAACTTTGTTCCATTTCCTGGTTGAGAAAAGGCAGAAAACAGAGGTGGCAATAACTTTGTTCCATTTCCTGGTAGAGAAAAGGCAGGAACAGAGGGTGGAAATAACTTTTTTCCATTTCCATGTAGACAAAAGGCAGGAACAGAGGATGGCAATGACTTTGTTCCATTTCCTGGTTGGGAAAAGGCAGAAAATAGAGGGTGGAAATAACTTTGTTCCATTTCCATGTAGACAAAAGGCAGAAGACAGAGGGTGGCAATGACTTTGTTCCCTCCTGGCTCCCCCCTGGTTGCGTGAGGGGGTTTTGGGGTGGCTCGGGGCGGTTGTGGCTCCCTCTGGGCCGGATCCTCCCCTGCCCTGGCTGTGCTGTGCCTTGCAGGATGTGTGACACGGGAGAGGGGCTCTTCATCTTCCAGACCAGGCATGGCGAGGCCATCTACCAGAAGGTGCACTCGGCCGCCCTGGCCATCGCCGAGCAGCACCAGCGGCTGCTGCAGAGCGCCAAGGACTCCCGGGTAGGGTGGGCACGGGGAGGGGCTTCCGCTGGGCACCCACCCACACTGGGCTGCTTGTTATTGGTATTGTCATCGTCATCATGAGTAGTGTAATTATTGCTTTATTATTATTATTATTATTATTATTATTATTATTATTATTATTATTATTATTATTATTATTATTAATAATATTCTTACTATTAATAATAAAGTAATTATTATACTTTAGTTATGATACTATTAAATGTAAGAATGATGCTGCATATTATTATTATTATTATTATTATTATTGTTATTATTATTATTATTATTAGTCGGCTCGGTTATAGAATTTAGGTCAATATGTATAATTGGAATTATAGGAATTATAGGAATTCCTGCTCAAGGATAAAAACAACAAGTGCATGCACATTCCTCAGTGTTTGTGGGTGGAAAGTTAGTTTGTTCAATACTATACTATTATTGTTATTATTCTTATTGTTATTGTTATTATTATTAGTAGTATTAGTACTAGTATTACTATTAGTATTATTAGTACTATTAGTACTATTAGTATTATTAGTATTATTAGTACTATTAGTACTATTAGTACTATTAGTACTATTAATACTATTAGTATTATTAGTATTATTATATTCTGCTTGGTTATAAAATTTGGAGCAATCTGTATAACTGGAATTCCTATTAAGGAGAAAAACAACAAGGACAATATTATTACTATTATTATTATTATTATTATTATTATTATTATTATTATTATTATTATTATTCCTCCATATTTGTGGGTACAAATTTATTTTGTTCAATATATTATTTTTCAAATTATTAGTAATAGTATTAAATTCTGCTCGATGATAAAATTCAGGGCAGTATGTGTAGCTGGCCTTGCTGTCAGCAGCAGTTGCTGAGCCAGGCGTGCTGCAGTGTGCCTGACCCTGTCGTGCCTTGCAGCTGCAGCTGAGGAGGAGCGAGCGGGCCGTGTCCCTGGGCACCGTGGTG